TCCACTAGAATTAATGAATTTTAAGAGACTTAGCACCAGGCCTCCCTAGGAGAACCCAAAATTAAAGCGGATGAGAAATAGTGAATCTCCTCTCTTTGGTTAAACGGCGGTCAAAAATGCTTCACTAATTGAGGAATATAACGCTTTTCAAAGTCCACAGTTTTCAAAACAGGGGATGGACGTTGAGAGATGCTAGGTCTTTAATTGTGAGGAAAAGGTGTGGTCACTAAGTTAGACAGAAGCATTTGTGTTTCTCAATATTGAGTACCTTTAGATTGGAACATATAAATATTGAAGCTATATCTGAACCGATTTTTCCCAAAATCTGACATTATATTTTGGGGCACAACAAATTAAATTAAATCTGCACCGATTTCCATAAAATTTAGCAGAGTATTTGTATGCTATCTCTAATAGCTGTCACCTTAAAGCATTTATATATGGGACCTATAGTCATATCTGAACCGATTTTCACCAAATATTACTAATTTTCTTCCTGGCTAAATTCGTGGGTATGTGCCAAAATCCATTCAATTCGGACTTATATTAACCATTTGGTGCACAATAAAATTAAAATCGGATCAAGATATAAATGATAGTTATATTCAAATCGGAACCGATCTCGACAAAATTTGGCAAAGGTTATTCCCAGCTGTATTAAATATATTTCTCCGAATATCGTTGTTTTGGAATTCATATTACAATTGTGGTGGGACAAAATTGACAAATCGAATGAACACTATATATGGTAGCTTTAGCTATATCCGAACCGATTTCCATCACATTGCTTCTAGGCTCAATTTGGTCATATGTGCCAAATTCCATCCCATTTGTACCAATAATACAAATTTGATTTACAATTAAAGGCAAATCGGACGAAGATATATATGGGAGCCATATCCAAATCTGAACCGATCTCAATAAAATTTCGCATTTCTGAATCGTATGTAATATATTTCTCCGAATATCGTTGCTACGCAGTGCATGTTACGGCTGTGGAGGAGGTCGGATGAAAAATATATAACATACTAGCTTCTATACTCAGTTCGGTCGTAAGTGACGAATTTCATCCCATTTGGGCAAATATTAGACGTTTGGTGCACAATAAAAAGTAAATCGGACGAAGTTATATATGGAGATATATCCAAATCTGAACCGATCTCGATAAAATTAGCAAATGTTTTTCTGAGCTGTGTTTGATAAATTTATTGTTGTTACAGAGTGCATAATACGGCTGCGGAGGACAAAAATAACAATTCGGATGAACAATATATATGGGAGCTATAGCTATATCTGAACCGATTTCGATCAAATTTGGCATACTTATTTTCAGGCCCAATTTGGTTGTATGTGCAAAATTACATATTACACGTTTGGTGTACAATAAAAGGCAAATCGGACGAAGATATATATGGGAGCTATATCTAAATTTTGACCGATTATATCCAATTTTCATAGGGTTCGTCCGACTTATTGGTCAAAAGTATTTTGTGCAAAGTTTCATATCGATTGGGCAATAAATGCGAAAAATACATGGACAGACGGAGGGACGGACGAACGGAGGACATGTATAAATCAACTCGGAATGTGATTCTATGCAGATCATCAAAAGAAACTATGGTTCTGCACAAAAACATAATTCCCTGACCACAGGGTGGTGTAGGGTATAAAAGATAATTCAGAAGAAATGTCACTTGAAGTATATTTCAGTTTACCAATTTTGTTTTGGCTGTCAAACCCATATTGACCTCCATACCCCCTTTCAAATTACTTGGATTCGAATATTTTCGAAAAACAAAGTGACAATCGCTTTTCAATAGAATAAACATTTTGTGACGTAGCAGCATAGTTTTGTATGCGTCATATTCATTTGGATTGAGTGTATGGTGATAACCTCTCGATGCGTAGTATGTTAATGAATAAGTGTGTACTTTATAGGCCACTTATCAACATTTGCGGTTCCACTACGGAAATAGCAAAAAATATATATATATTTATAAAAACAATGTTAATCATCGGCAGAAGTCATTATTTTTATTAATTGTTATTGAAATTAATTGTGTTCACGGAACAAGAGGAGTAAACGATTGCGAATAGAAGGAAAATCGACGATAGCTTCTTCGAAACACCGAAAATCAGGCATAATCGCCATACGGTGGGAGTACCTCAAAAAGTGGACTCATGTTGTTTTCTGAATCTATATTGGCAGCGTTCTTCTACTAAAAACCCGAAACGTTTAATTATAGATTATATTAGCTTTAAATATTTTTTAGGCTACAAATGTTTTAAATGGGGAGATCTCTTTTATATGGGGACCATACCAAATGCGTGGACCTATTGCCGGCCTTTAGCGAGAGGAATTCCACCACTTAGAAGCTGAAAGGTCAAACTACAGCTGATTCGATTGAAAACTGTGGCTGATCAAAATATCCTTAATCGTGAGGTGTGGGTGTTCTAAGGTTATACCTAAACAGGCATAAATACTCCAATCTGGGGTTCTTTAGATACCTTTTACAACAAGAAAACCCTAGTAGATTATGAAAATAGAGAAAAAATATAAGACACATGCTTCGGAGTTTTGAAAGATTACATTGAAAACTAAGCTAAATAGAGAGGGCAAGTTCCCCCTCTTCCACATTTTTCTTAAGCCTTTAGACCACAAATTGCTAGAATCCCTGTATCTTAGGTAACTAATGTCTTCTGCAATATTACTGACAGCACTAGGAGTATAATTTTGGTGATAAGATTAACCCTCAAACAAGTCACCAAAGGGGTCTTTTTGATCTTCTATACAAAATAGTGTTAAATACTAGCTTAAAACGGGATCGTAGCAAGTCAAAAATATTAACATTTTTTGTCATAAAATTCAAATTCTTAAGAATGTGTTCCTTAGGGTTGTTAGGGTTAAATCCGCGCTGTATATGAGTTTATGCTAATTTTTTTCGAGTTGGTGCAAAAAAATGACATTAAAATAGTTTTATTTTAAAATTTTCAAAAGAAGAAATTTCTGGACCAAACTTTAGAATAAATTTCTATGTGGCTGGTGCGCACCGATTTAGTTCTAACTTGGGACATCGCAATATTGCTATTAAACCTAGATCGAGTTCGTAGATGGGCAATATCGGTCCACTCTTTCTGGTACCTCCCCCACCAATCATAGAAAATAATTTACCTCATCGGCTCTCTCCATTAAGTACGTATTTCCCCGCCAAGAGTCAAAATTTTGAATAATTTCAACTCTTATAAAATGTGAAATAAGAGACTCATGGCCTTCAAATTTCACACATCCCAATTTTTTTACCAACACAAGATCCCAAATCAGGAACGGATCACTTCTTCTGGTATCTCATCTCCCACAAGGAAAAACATTTTAAAAATTATAACCCCTTTAAAATGTGGCATTTGTCTTTAAGTTTTGCACATCTCAACATTTTTACCAAAGAAAGATCTGGTATGAAGATGGAATATCTCGGGCCACTACTTCTGGTACCACGCCCACAAAGAGTCAAAATTTAGAAAAAATATATTTTTCAGAAAATGCGTAATGAGCACCCGATTCCCTTCAAACTTCACACATACCAATTTTTTTATTAACGAAATATCTGGTGCGAAGATGGGATATATCGGTCCACTCCCTCAGATACCACCCCCACAATGGTCAAAATTTTAATAAATTACTTAACTTCGCAAATTCCAATATTTCCACTAACAAGATCTGACCCCTTCTGGTATCTCCCCTACAAATGATAGCAATTGTATGTATTTATATATTTCATGACTTGCGGAACATATCAGCGATGCTTTTCATACTGGTATATCTCCCTCAACCAGGGATCTGATGTGAATATGGACTCTATCGGCCCTCTGGCACCTCTCCCACAAGAGTTTAACATTTTAATTACCATTTATTTGCATACCAATAATTTTATCAGTATAAGTTGAAGTGGAGTACTCCGGTCCGATATATTAGGTATCTCACGCATGTTTCAACATCTTCCAAAAATTATCACATATCTTATAAAATGTAGATATGGTGCAACTCTGGTACTTTATAAAATTTATAGCAGACCTTGGACATTCCAAAAGGACTCAGCACCATCGCACTCATCACGCGCCACACAAGAATGGTTACAAAATGAGGTTCCTCGCTTCATTTCCAGCGCACAATGGCCACCAAAATCTTCGGATACCAATCCGTTGGACTCTTGTGTCTCGAGGATTTTGGAAAGCAATGTTGGCACTAAAAAATACCAAAGTGTCGATCACCTCAAGCAAGTGCAACATTCTGCCAGCGTGTGACTGTTTCATTGGCCGTTTGAAGGCCATAATTCGTGCCGAAGGTGACCATTTCGAACAAATCTAAACTTATTCTAAAATTTGATGCTATTTCCGAAATTTGTCTTTGTTGCAGTTTTTTTTATCTCACTCAAAAAATTTTACCAAATTTTGATTTATAAAAACCTTTTTTTAAAAAAATTTATGACTTTTTCCCAATTGGCTGTAGGTTTTTTTATATTTCATTTTTAGAAAACTTTTAGTTCGAATTAAAGAAAATGTCGCCTTATCTCAACCCGATACAATAGCAGTGACCCACTCAATACATTTCAAGGTTCCATTTTTAATGGTTTCGACTGGGCTTTGTTATGTCGGATTTTTAAGAGCCAAACTAACACAAAAAAGCGTGAAATCTTTATGTGAATTGCTGGTACGGTCCATATAATTTAATGTTTTAAGGTTATTTCAGGCAAATGTTGAGCGTGACTGTGCCTCAAATAGTTCATCCACTTCGTGCTATTTCAGGACACTCTTTCCTAAATTTTGGCAGATATCTCACAAATGCATGCTTCAATATTGTCTTCCAATGCAATGAGTGACACGGGCTCGCCTGTATAGATATAACATAGCTCCGCAAAACTAGTTTCAAGGCGTTCAATCGTTTAAACCAGTGTTGCCAAAAAAACTAAAAATCTCTTTTTAGTAATTAAACGCCATTTTCATAATTCTAAAAAAATAATAGCATTTATTTCAATTTTACTTTCTTCACATCACTTAAACGCTAATACCACCTAAATCTAATCTATAAAAACGCTTAAAAATAACAATTAAATAAAATCTTAAAACTAACTCAGATAAAAATACCACATTTTAATTTATTATCCCACCCCTCTTACATTTCATCAAAATCTCCCCGTTCGGTCATCTCCATGAGAGCCAACACCTTGTTGTACAACAACTCACGCGAATCAATGCCCCAGACGAAATCTAAATGATTAAATTTCGGATCGTTAACCAAAAATTTGCCCACAACATTAGGTAGACCTTGGCGCAATTTCTCCACATCCTTGGGTGTGGCCAACCAATCGTTTAGCGAATAGTGTAGGGCCACCTTGGTGCGTACATTGTCCAGTTTATAGTCTGGTGGATTAATGCTACCATAACGCCAGTGGTTGCGTATCCAACCATAATCGTATTGACGGAAATGTCCGCTATGTTTCAGCTGGCCGTAGTGTTGCATTTGTTTGGTGGCAGCACCGGCTGGGGCATGACCCAACACCACCGGCAGCATGGTCTCGTTCATTTGCTGTTTATCAAAGCCGGCCACCAGGAACATGACATTCGAGCAGATTTCTTCGGTGAAAGAATCCTCATCGCATACGATTTGATTGAAAAGGGTAATGAATTCGTTGCTGGGTAAAAATTCATGGGCCCCGATTAGTTTGAGCAGCATCTGGGGAGAGAAGAGGAGAAGGAAAAAAATTAATCTAAAAATAAGAGAAATATTCATCTTTTGCTCTTACCGCCAATGGTTCCTGAAAGAAGGCCATAAATTCCACCACCGGACTCTTGGCATGCTTGATGTAGGCCACTGGGGCCAGAGCTTGCATCAGCAGCACCTTATCACACATATCCGGACGTTCGCTACACATAATGAAATATGTCATGGTACCTTGCGAGTGACCAATGTAGTGCAACTGCACCTCCGATGTCAAATCCAAAATATAATTAATTGTGGCCGGTAAATCGTATTTGCCCATTTCATGAAATGTGAAATCCCAAAATGCTGCATGCTTGGTCGTGTATTTGGTGTGATTGCGGGAATATGTGTTGCCGCGCACATTTGTCATCCAAACGTCGTAACCTTTTTCATAGAGCAGATAAGCTGTGGGGAGGGAGACATTTTTTTTTAGAAATTAGAATTTATATTTTTTGCTATTTGAAACTAAGGAAACAAACAAGTGAAAATACGTCAATCGAAGTGTTTTTTATATATTTTTTTTTTTTTGGTTCGGAGAGGCTTATTTGATCTGCATATTATATTCTTGACCTTAACCTAGTTATCAGTCATGCGAACTTGGGGGATTTTTGTTTAGATTGAGAATAATGTGGATTCATCAATACCCTACAATGCATGTTAGGCACTTTCGGAAGCCTCTCGGAAGTGGCACTTTTTATATATTTTACATTAAAAACTTAATTTTTAGTGGTCCCCATCTCCATCATCTTCACACCAGATCTTGTTATAGTATAAGTATTGGAAAGTGTAAAGTTTAGATGGAGTCAGATGGTCATTTCGCCTTTTATTAGAGATAAAATTATTGAAAATTTTGACCCATTGTTGGGGAGGTTCCAGACGGAGTGGAACGATATATCCCATCTTCACACCAGAAAAATATTAGGGAGTGTGAAATTAAAAAAATTATAAAATATTAAAAAATAAATATTAAATAAATACCAAATATTGAAAAAAATTGGATACTACTTAACTCCTTATATAAAGCCCACAGTACCAGAATTAGGAAGTAAAAAAACTCTCTATCATTTGGAAGGTACTTCAAAATGTAAAATATATTGAAAATACTGCTAAAATTTAATAATTCAGAATATTACGTGTTGCAGTTTTGGGGGGCTTCATGGACAAGTGGAATTCCAAATACTAAATCTAAAATAATTCCAGTTAGTAGTGTCGTCAAAATCATAAAAATTCCGAATGTTGGATTGCATCGTTATATGGTGTCCATAAGAAGACGTCTGTACAGTTTCGTCGGTTTCGGTCGGATTCCATTGCGAACGTCAAATTTAAACTAATTCCGATAAATCATCAAAATACAGAATATAGTGAGTGACCTACCATTACATCAAGATGTGAACCGCTCATGGGCAATTTCCTGTTAAAGGAGAAAGCATCCATTGCAGATACGAATTTTAAAAAATTCCGTTAAAAAGTGTGACACAACTTAACAAAATAACGAATGTCTGACGTACAGTTTAATGGGGGGCTGTACCAAAACGTAAACCTATATGGACAGTTTTATGCAAGCGAACACAAACTGCCAATTTACAGCAAATTCGAGTTAAAAATCCGACTAAAATAATCAAAAGCACTCCGGGGTTTTTTCTAAAACGTGGACCTATATGGATCTAAAATACATCTGAGTAATTTTTTTTCAGCCTACTTCATTTCCATCGAAAGCTAGAGTGATTTCGATAGATGGGGTTTCGAGGTATTACAAACGGAATGACAAACTTAATAGACCCTCCATACAATGGCAAAATGAATTTCGGAAAATTTCCCTCTCAACTTTTGGGAAATTACATTTTAAAGGACCCCCACTGCATAGAAACTAAGAACGAAACGGTGTCGAGAAAATTTGTGATTTTGAGGCAGAAACCTGATAAAGTTCCCTTATATGAAACCTATACGAAATAGTCCATCTGTGGGCATGACTTCCGTGGCACCGCCCGTTTTTATGTATTTTTAAGGTCTTGGCCATATCGTTTGAGGAATTTAATAATCCTTGCATTTAATCTACTGAATTTTTCTGGAATTATGCTTTTCCTGTTGCGCAGTGTAATTTTTAAGAATATTTTGGCCAGTATATCATTTTTTTCAATAAATGTTTAAGGTAGGGCGGAATTCACTTCTCTATATAGGTTACATGTGATTTACGGATCTTCTATTTTATAATCTATCTTCATAATTCACTGAGTTTCTGCTGTCTATTATCCAAATTAAATTAAGGTGTAATATAGGGTCCCTCATAAAAATCTTTTAACTCGTCCTATATATTATTATTTAAAGCATTCCGTTGAATTTTAAACAATATTCAGTATTGGTACGGATCAATACAGTTTTATCATCGATTTTTTCGAATCAAATCATATTATACATATTAACTTTTTTGTATAACCCCATAATAATTCCGGATTTAAATTTTTCTCATTCATGAAACAACTTATATTCCAAATTGCTGCACTGAGGATCCCTAGGTTTAACAAGGCCCACATATACTCTGTTCCAGAACCTGCAAGAATCTACCAGTTTTCCAATTGTTATACCCTACACCACAAGGTGGTCAGGGTATTATGTCTTTGTGCATTTGTTTGTAACAAGCAAAAGGAAACGAGATAGACCCATGGTTCTCCTTTTGATGATCTGCATAGAATCACATTCTGACTCGATTAATACATGTCCGTCCGTCCGTCCGTCTGTCCATGTATTTTTGTAAATAAAGTACAGTTCGCGTTTATTGCCCTATCCAGATGAAATTTTGCACAAATCATTCGTTTGGCCCAAGGACGAACCCTGTTGAAATTGCAGAAAATCGGTCAAAATTTAGATATAGCTCCCATATATATCTTCGTCCGATTTGCCTTTTATTGTGCACCAAACGTGTAATATCAGCCCGAATAGTATGGAATTTTAAACATACAAACAAATTAGGCCTGAAAACAAGTATGCCAAATTTGATCGAAATCGGTTCAGATATAGCTATAGCTCCCATATATATTGTTCATCCGATTTGTTATTTTTGTCCTCCGCAGCCGTAATATGCACTCTGTAACAACAATATTTGGGGAAATATATCAAATACAGCTCAGAAATACATTTACTAAATTTTATCGAGATCGGTTCAGATTTGGATATATCTCCCATATATAACTTCGTCCGATTTATCTTTTATTGTGCACCAAACGTCTAATATTTGTCCAAATGGGATGGAATTTGGCCCTTACGACCGAATTGAGTCCGGAAACTAGTATGTCAAATTTGGTGAAGATCGGTTCAGATTTAGCTATAGCTCCCATATATACTGTACATCCGATTTGTTACCCACAGCCGTAATAGGCACTCCGTAACAACGATATTCAGGGAAATATATCAAATACAGCTCAAAAATATCTTTGCCAAATTTCATCGAGATCGGTTCCGATTTGGATATAGCTCCCATATATATCTTTATCCGATTTCAAATTAATTGTGCCCCAAATGGGCAATACAAATCCGAATTTAAAAGATACAAATGCTTCGGCATATTTAGTCCTTTGAACTTTAAATTTTAATTATAATCATAGTGTGTATGATTGAATTCTCCCATAAAAACTTGTAATGGTTATGCGGAGCTCTACTAAATTAGCAAAGGGGTGTACGATATCATAAAGTCGGCCCCACCCGACTTTAAGATTTTCTTTACTGGTTTCGATATTATAAAGGGAAAGTCGGCTATCGTCGTAAAAACTTTCACGTTCTTGCAGTTCTGCAAGAGATTGTTATATTGCTCCTGGGTCTGGGGCTGAATCCTATGAAAATTTGAAATGCAAAATATTTTCTATAAAATTTCTATATGAATTGTTCCATTTCACAATTGCATAGAACAAAAATGACAACCTTAATCTCATTTGTTTCTTAAAAATTTTCACTGAATTGCGTTTTTCTTGTTCCTCATCAGGGGAATCTCTTCGGAAGACGCTAATATTTTAGAATCTTTTTTTGCATCTTTTTTTTTAACAGAAATATATTTTTACTTTTCGAACATTTTTAGAGATCATAGTTTTTTATGGAAAGCAGGACGTATTTTAGGGCCAAATATTATTGCCTTAAAATTTCCTCTTCCAATTAAAAATTATGAATTCTACTTAATTTTTCACACATCGGAAATTTCCATTTTTTTTTGTTAATTTTTTTCTTCAAAAATGGTTCCTTTTTTCACTTCAATATTCTGTTCATATTTCCACTTGTTATTTTAATTTTCAATACCACACACCATCCGATGATTACTCACCTAATCCCTTATTGGGGCCCATCATAACCCATGTAGCCGATGAATCCAAAAGGCCATGGGTCAAAAGTACTGGCATAGCCCCGTGATTGGCAATGCGATGTAATTCCAAAATATAGCCATCATCAGTGATGGCATGATGCACTTCCGAAGGATAACCATATTTCTTTATTAGATCGGGCTAAATGGGGTAGGGGCGAAATAAAAATTCACTTTAAAAAAATTCTCTACACTTTGTTCACGCACACACAAACACTCGTGTTTTCACTTCAACCAACCGTTTTCAATATTGAATCCTCAATAATATCCGGATCAATGGTAACATCGCCCAACAACGATTTCATGGAACTATGAACTTGTTTTTGAATCTTGGAACTGCCCTCATCGAAGACCATGCCGGGGAATTTTGGTATATCAAATAAATTTATGTTTTGCAGCGAAAAGGACCATGTCGCTGGTGGGGCCTGCGGATCATCGGCCCAGCAATAATTTGCACTGAACAGCAATAGCAGAGCTACACAATTTTCCGTTATTCTCATTTTCGCGCACACGTCGTCTTTATTGTCGCAAGTCTTTAAGTTAACTGATCGCAAAATTCTCAAACAATTCCCAGGGTTCTCAATGAACCGTTGGCGTTGTAGTCGTTGCCGGTTATGTTGTCGTCTCCGTTTTATTGTAGATTATTATTTATATGTTTTTTGTTATTATTTTTGTCATTATTCTTATTTTCATGAATGAGTGAACATGCCGCCGCCTGCCTACCGGTCGGTTGGTTTGTATGTTGGGCGCCATCCCTCTCTCCCTCTACGGGGCTATTTATTAATTGATCAATTTAAAAATGCAAAAAAAACAACAAAAACAAAATCTCTCAAGTGACACTCTCAGTCAGTTGGCTTTGTGTTACTCTGTGAAGCGATAAGCCGATGAGTGAGCGAGCACTGAAAAGCAGACTTGTTATCGCCACCACATCTACGAGACATTGAATATTTCTGCCAGGCAATGAATGGGTGGTGTGTGGTGCGTAGAATTGGCAAAATTGACCAGTGCGGATTTGTTTTCTTTGTTTTAATGACGCCCTTCTTCACTCTTTCAATTGGCGATAACCTCTAAAGAGCCTCACGGGGCTTTTGTGCGTGTGGTATCGCCTGATAAGGCTTTGTATTTTCTCCATAGAGATTAGGGTCTGTTAGGGTAAATTACTTTGTCTTTTTGCAAATTATCAGTACTTTGTGAGTAATTAGCGATAGTCTCCGAGTGAGGGGCAAAAAATTATGCCTATCTCATTACTATAATGAGCCATATCCTCTATTCCAAGAAATGTTTAAATAAATAGATTTGTATTTTTACCATGTTTGTCAGTCAGATAGCATGTTATATTCCTGTGATGGTCCTTGAAAAACGACCTCTTAAAGAATTTTGTAACTATCACTAAGATATTGACCAATGAATCTATTTTTTTTTACCCTCATATGCCTAGAGAGGGTAAATATCATTTGATACGGCCTAAACGTGCCTCATCGAAATAATGGTTTTAGACCCTAGGTCTCTTTGGACCAAATCCGTTGAGGGCATTTGGAGTCGATCTAGCGATGTCCGTTCGTCTGTCTGTCTGGATAGATCGTGCGCACGACAAATCTCAAAGGGAGTGTCCGACTTGGTCCAAACTTGGTATATCGTAATATTATTATCAAATTTAGATCGAGTTCGGAGATGGGCAATATTGGTCCACTTCTTCTGGTACCTCCCCAAAAACAGATCGACATTTTGAAAGAAAATATTTGACCGTACAGAACCGGAAAGGACAATCCGATTTTGCTCCAACTTTGCAAATTATAATATTTCCATTAGTGTTACGTCAGGTGCGAAAATGGACAATATAGGTCCACTCCATCAAGTACCTCCCCCACAAAAAATTCTAAGGTTCTAACGATGGCGGTCTCTCTGTCTGTCCGTCGGTCTGTCTCTCTGTTGTAATCACGCTATCTTTCGAACGAATTGAGAAAGAAGAAAATTTTGCACACATGTTTATTTTTCCAGTAGGCAGGTTAAGTTCGAAAATGAGCCATATCGGTCCATGTTTTCGTATAGCCCCCATATAACGGTACCTCCCGATATTCAGTATTTTCATGATTTTAGCGACATTATTTACCGGATTTATTTCAAATTTTATATTTAAAGTTCGTAATGGGTACTACAGGCTATGTCAAAAAATTTCGCATGCAGGTCCACATCTTCGTATAGCCCCCATATAACGATACCTCCCGATATCCGGTATTTTGATGATATTTAGCAACATTATTCGCCGGAATCGTTTCAAATTTCGTATTTGCAGTTCGTAATGGGTACTACAAGTTATAACAAAAAATGTTGTATGCAGGTCCAAGGCATACAAAGGTATAGCCCCCATATAACGGTACCTCCTGATATTCGATATTTTGATTATTTTAGCGGCATTATTCCTCGGAATGGTTTCAATTATGGTATTTGAAGTTCGTAATGGATACTACAGCCTATGGAAAAAAATTGTGTATGCAGGTCCAAGTCTTCGTACAACGGTACCTTCCGATATTCGGTATTTTGATGATTTCAGCAACATTATTCACCGGAATCGTTTTAAATTTCGTATTTGAAGTTCGAAATGGGTGCTACAACCTATGGCAAAAAAATTCGAATGCAGGTCCACGTTTCATATCCGTTTTCGTATCCCATATAACGGTTTTGTGGCAGTTTTCGGATTTTTTTGGAACTTTTTAAGCTCCTTCCAAATTGTAGAGGGTATTAAAAGTTCGTCCCAGCCGAATTTAGCTGCTTTGTTACTTGTTATACCCTACACCACAAGGTGGTCAGGGTATTATGTCTTTGTGCATTTGTTTGTAACAGGCAAAAGGAAACGAGATAGACCCATAGTTCCTTTTGATGATCTGCATAGAATCACATTCTGAGTCGATTTATGCATGTCCGTCCTTCCGTCCGTTCGTCTGTCCGTGTATTTTTGTAAACAAAGTACAGTTCGCATTTATTGCCCTATCCAGATTAAAATTTGCACAAATCATTTGTTTGACCCAAAGACGAACCCTGTTGAAATTGGAGATAATCAGTCAAAATTAAAATATATAGCTCTCATATATATCTTCGTCCGATTTGCCTTTTATTGTGCACCGAACGTGTAATATTAGCCCGAATAGTATAGAATTTTGCACATACAACCAAATTAGGCCTGAAAATAAGTATACCAAATTTGATCAAAATCGGTTCAGATATAGCTATAGCTTCCATATATATTGTTCATCCGATTTATTATTTTTGTCCTCCGCAGCCGTAATATGCACTCTGTAACAACAATATTTGGGGAAATATATCAAATACAGCTCAGAAATATCTTTGCCAAATTTTATCGAGATCGGTTCAAATTTGGATATAGCTTCCATATATAACTCCGTCCGATTTACCTTTGATTGTGCACCAAACGTTTAATATTTGTCCAAATAGGATGGAATTGGCACTTACGACCGAATTGAGTCTAGAAACTAGTATTTCAAATTTAATGAAGATCGGTTCAGATATAGCTATAGCTCCCATATATACTGTTCATCCGATTTGTAATATTTGTTACACACAGCCGTAATATGCACTCCGTAACAACAATATTCAGGGAAATGTATCAAATACAGCTCAGGAATATCTTTGCCAAATTTTATAGAGATCGGTTCAGATTTTGATGTAGCTCCCATATATATCTTTATCTGATTTCAAATTAATTTTGCACCAAAAGGGCAATACAAATCCGAATTTAAAATTTACAAATGCTTCGGCATATTTAGTCCTTTGAACTTTAAATTATAATGATAATCATAGCGTGTTGATTGAATTCTCCCATAAAAAACTTTTAATTGTTATGCGCAGCTCTTCTAAATTAGCAAAGTGGTGTAGGGTATCATAAAGTCGGCCCCGCCCGACTTTAAGACTTTCTTTACTGGTTTTATTTGTTTTTTTTTTTTATTATTTTAATACACCTTTAAACTTGTCATATCAAATTTCGACCATTAACAACAAAGGTTTGTAAAATGTATTGCATGAATTGTCTCAATTTAGTAATCGCTCAAATACTTACGTATCGTCAATTTCAAATTGTTCCTAATTTATGGTTATTTTTATATTTATTACTATCTATGGAACGACTATGAGAACAAATTTCATTTTCTGGACTTTGTATTTTTGTGTCGTGGTCTTTGTTTATTTTTGGATCCGCAATAAGAAACTGAATTTTTTTTTGTAACCGGTCATTACCTGTTATTTTGTGTTTGAGCTATTCTTTGTATTTTTATATGCTTGTGTGACGATATCACGCTGTCTTATCACAAGTTTTTATTAAATTATTTGTATTTTTGTTGTTGTTGTTCTTGTTGTTGTAATATTTATTATTGGTGGTCACCCACCAATCAGGGGAGTGACTAATTTGCATGTCATGCAAGTTATGCAGTTGAATTTTGTGTAAAACAAAAATCGATATCATCTCACGGCAGCGCTCTCCAATCTCAGCATCTTGTGCGAGCTGTTTAAACCAAGGTTGCCAAAAGGCTAGTAAAAAAATTCCACCCTCATAATTTTTAAAAAAATAATTGCATTTATTTAACTTTTTCTTTCTTCACATCCCTTAAACGCTAATAGCATCTAAATTTATTCTAAAAAATCGCCTAAAAATAATAATTAAATAAAATCTAAAAACTAAACCAAATAAAAATACCACATTTCAATTTATTATCTCCTATTTCAGAGGACAGGTCACCTGCCCTCTTACATTTCATCAAAATCTCCCCGTTCGGTCATCTCCATGAGATCCAACACCTTATTGTAGAGCAGCTCACGTGAATCAATGCCCCACACAAAATCCAAATGATTAAATTTCGGATCATTGACCAAATTATAGCTCACAACATTGGGCAGACCTTGGCGCAACGTCTCCACATCCTTGGGAGTGGCCAACCAATCGTTTAGCGAATAGTGCAGGGCCACCTTGGTATGTACATTATCCAGTTTATAGTCTGGTGGATTAATGCTACCATAACGCCAATGATTGCGTATCCAGCCATAATCGTATTGACGGAAATGTCCGCTATGTTTTAGCTGGCCATAGTGTTGCATCTGTTTGGTGGCAGCACCGGCTGGGGCATGACCCAACACCACCGGCAGCATGGTCTCGTTCATTTGTTGCTTATCAAAGCCGGCCACTAGGAAAATGACATTTGAGCAGATTTCCTCCGTGAAAGAATTCTCATCGCATACGATTTGAGTGAAAAGGCTAATAAATTCGTTGCTGGGTAAAAATTCATGGGCCCCGATTAGTTTGAGTAGCAACTGGGTAGGGAAGAGGAGAACGGAAAAAATTAATCTAAAAATAAGAGAAATATTCATCTTTCATCTCTTACCGCCAATGGTTCCTGAAAGAAGGCCATAAATTCCACCACCGGACTCTTGGCATGCTTGATGTAGGCCACCGGTGCCAGGGCTTGCATCAGCAGCACCTTATCACACATATCCGGCCGTTCGCTACACATAATGAAATAGGTCATGGTACCCTGAGAGTGACCAATGTAGTGCAATTGCACCTCCGATGTCAAATCCAAGATATAATTAATTGTGGCCGGCAAATCGTATTTGCCCATTTCATGAAATGTAAAATC